GGCTATGACGTCTTGAACACGTTCGGCAGCTCGGCGATCACAATCTTCTGTCTTGGCCTGCCAATCCTTGGAGAAGGACTGAGGGTGAGCAGGGACACAAGAACGGAGGAGCCGTCCATACAAGACCTGGGCAGGGGAGCGTCCGGTGTAATTGGGCGTGTTGCAGAGTTCAAGGAGACCCCGGTCGAAAGCCTCGCAGTCAATATTTCCAGAAGGGGCCACTTTGAGGATGAGGTGCTTCAGGGATTTGACAGCAGCCTCAGCGTGGCCGTTGGAACTGCAGGTAATGGGGCGATGACAACACATGCCGGACTCCCCATCGGTCAAGGAACACAGCAAAGTCCCGGCTTGTGAACTGGGGCCCTCCGTCGGTTCGTAGGCGCACAGGGAAGCCCACGTAACGGAAGTAGTGGCGGAACTTGCTGATGGTGGCGGCAGACGTCGTATCATTACCGCACTTGATGACAACCGGCCAACCAGAGAGACGGGCGACGATAACCAGGAAGGACTTTCCTGACACACAGAAAAAGTCGGCCGACACAGACTCAAAGGGGCGGGCGGGGTTGTCGTCACTCATGAAGGGTTCCTACTGCTGGCTGGGTTGTAGTACTTGGCAGGGCTTACATGCATGGACAGCATTGGAGATGTCAGAGTCGATGCCAGGCCAGAACACAGTCTGTCTAGCACGCCGTTTGGTGGCCTCGGCTCCACGGTGACTGTCGTGGAGGCGAGCCAAGACGTGGGGACGTGAAGCAGCGGGGGCAACTACCGAAGGAGAGGTGTCACTGGCCAGAGGTAGGTGTGGGGCAACAGCAGGGTAGTTGCTGCTCCCTTCGTGCACCCTGTTGGCGTATTTTACCTCGGGAATCTGTTTTGGTAAGTCCTGGGAGATGATGGCCAACTCTTGGCAATGTCTGTAGGACAGCAAAGGAGTCGGGACACCATTATGCACATCAATCCAGGCTTGACACGACCTGTTGCCAAAGGTGACCTGTGCTTGGAGTGAACCTAGGGCAGGGGCCATCTGTGAACCATTTGCCGTGAAGCGGAGGTCCTTGGGAGGCGGTCCTAGATCACTTGGAGAGAGCCCCAAACATTGCAAATGCTGGAGGCCGATGACTGTAGCATCAGCGCCGGTGTCGGGCAGCATCTTGAGACAGGATGACACACTGCCGTAAGTCACAATGACACTGATGTGCTGGGGAACTTTGATCCTGGGACGCGAGGGGGAGTACACCTTCCTAATATGGCTTGAGCGTTGTCCAGGGTCATCATGCCTCTGATTTGACGACTGTGGGCGGTGCTCACTGGTGGAAGGGCGCTGCTGCTTCCGCCGATGCTGTCCCTTGGGTTTGTTGGTCGGGCAACACTTGTTGTAGTGGCCCAGACGACCATACACATTGCACTGGACGCGTTTGGCTGGGCACCGTACTGTAAGTGACCAGTGGCTCTTGCGATCACAACTGTTGCAGGTAGACTCAGCAGCTGGACACACCTGTGTTCCGTGCTTCCTACCACAGCTGTTGCAAAGGGAGCCGGGCGTGGGCGTGGTGGGCGTAGGAGTTGGGGTAGACTTCTTGTACTTGGACATAGCCCGTACATCTGTAGGGGGAGCTCGGATGGCAGAGGTGGCACACCTGGCAGCCTCATAGGAGTGACATATTGTCAACACATCCTTAAGAGAAGAGGAAGAGTCGAGGGAGGTGAGGCGTAGGACAAGCTCCTCGTCCTTAACACCCATCAGGATCACCTGCTTCAACTGGGTCTCCTCGCACTGCTGGTGATTCCTGGGACATATGTCGACCTCTTCCGAGGCTCTCTTGAGTCGTACACAGAAGGCATCGAAAGTCTCGCCCTCCATCTGTCTACAGCTAAACAATTCCCTCCTGCGTAAGCTTCATTCCGCTGACCTTTGATGTGCCGTTCTAGAACATCCAGTACCTCCTCTGCAGACAACAAAGAAGTCGGGGGCACCTGCAACGTATGTTCCAACACACGCTGCGTTTCCAAAGACAGGCACATACGTAGCTGAATGAGTTGTTTAGGCTGTGGCAAGCTCTGGAGACCCACCATTGTAGCATAATCACTCCACTGTCGCCGCCACTCACGAAAAGTCTGGAAAGTCACATCAGGCTCCAAGATGGGTGGGGTTTGGGCAGCCGCTTTGGGGGGGGGGGGGGGGCTGGGGGGCGTACAGAAGGCGTTGACGAGGTATCTGAACCAGTCGATACCGAAGCAGTGGAAGAGCCAAGGGCTTGATTAGCAGTGAGGCTAGATATCAAAGCTGCAAACCGTTCGCTATCTTCCAATCTCCTTTGGTGGTCTCTGTTTGCCTCCACTTGTCTCCTTTCTTCGTCCTCAGCGCGTCTTCTCGCTTCGCCCTCACGCCTTTCCTTCCTCAAAACTTCATCAGAGCAATTATCTCTGAAGACAAGGCTGAAAATTAAGGTGAAGGACTGCGAGGTGTGGTGGGAGAGGGTGGGGCGTCGCGCTCTGACTGGTCATCCATCTCTGTGGAGCTGTCATCTGTCTGAGTCATCCGGGCGCTAGGAACACCGCTGCGTAAAGCCCGGGACATAATTACTCAATCTGTATATTGTATCTCAAATCAGTGTTGACCGGTCAGCCCGTCGTATCAACAAGATCTGAGACAAAAAAATTAATTGAATACACAGATAAGTAAATTATATATATAAAATACATATAAAGAAATGACTGCAGTCAGTGTGCTCGTGCGCGTGTGTGTGTGTGTACCCGTGGGTTGGTGTGTGTAGGCGGGGGTGAGCGAGCAGGGGGGGGGGGGCGCAGAGCGCGCTGATCAGTTACATTCGAGACACAGCTGGAGAAGGTCCTCGCTAATGCACTGCTCCTCACAAATGCCCTATATCAGCCTTCCACCTGGGGAATCCCTTAAAACAAAGGCACACACTTATGCACTACACACACGAGGGCACTTATGACAATTCACAATAACTTGCTGTCACTGAAACACTGCTCAAAACTCGTTGGTAATTCAAACAAATTTTTGTGGGAGACAATGCGATTAGGAGAGCGACGGTTGACGGAGTTGACGGAGTGGGGGGTCTACCGGTCTTGATTTTAAACAAACGCACTTATATTTCCAATTAATCAAATCACTGCACCATGTGGAGGCTCACTGCGCCATGTGGATGTTCGGGTATTCAGTTCTAACTGCAGGAGCGAACACAAACACCTGTAGAGTTCTGTAGGTTCTATTTGACGGAAGTATACAAGGGTGCGCTTACAAGCGCTGGTAGTCCCTACACTCTTTTTGGGTCAACTGACCTCTCCCTGACCACTCAGGCGACATGTGGCAAGTGGTACATTAGCAGCTTCCAGATGTCGCCAGGCACATTATCTAAGCGTGTGGTGACATGAAACAGGGGCATTGCCACACGCTACTGACTAGATAGGTAATGTATATAAATGGGGTACATAAATAGTATACATACAACATACATAATATACATACAGTAACCTACATTGTAAGTCACTGTTAAAGAATTATGAAATTATTATTCTACTAATCTTATTCAATACACGCAAATACATATTCCAAAGCTAATATTCCTTATAATTCCCTATCCCCTTTCTTCAAAATCTCGAGAAAATTCCCCAGGCTAAAATTCCTGAGAATTGGGAAAATTCCTAAGAAGTGGAAACGTGTCCTTCCTGCTAGTATTGACCGACAGTATATCACCTAAGAACATAAGAATGAAGGAAACTGCAGCGACCCTATTGACCCATACTAAGGAGCCCCATTTACGCCCAATCCCTATCGCTCATATATCCGTCCAACCTGTATTTGAAGCTTCCCAGCGTGTGCGAATTAGTGATGAAGTTGTGTAACTTGTTCCACTCATCCACTACTCTATTTCTAAACCAGTGTTTACCTATCTCGCGCCTAAATCTAAGTTTGTCTAATTTAAAACCATTGCTACGAGTTAGCTCCTGGTTGAATAGTTTGAGTATCTTTGTTATATCACATTTGTTTAACCCTGACTTCCATTTATATTGTACACCTCGATCAAATCACCCCTCAATCTACGTCTATTGAGGGAGTGCTGATTAAGATACTTTAATCTGTTTGTACCCAAGGTTCCTAATGCCCGGGATTAGTCGTGTCATCCTCCTCGCTTTCTAGGGATTCTACAGTATATCCATTCTGTAGTACGGTGATCAGAACTGAACCGCGCGATCCAAGTGAGGTCTCACAAGCTCTAGATATAGTTTTAGGATAACCTCGCTAGTCTTGTAACTATCACTCCTTTGTATGAACCCAAGTACTGAACTGTACTTTGTTAGCCTTGTTTCGATAAAATACGCTTTATTGTCTTGGATTAAGATTCCTTCTTATCATTACTACTAAATCTTTCTCACAGTCGAATTTCTCTATAACAACGTTGTTCATCTGATATCTGATTTCCCTGTTTACATCTCCTAGACTAAGTACTTTACATTAATTTTGTCCACATTAAATTTCAACTGCCATTTTCAGACCATGTGAATTTTTTTTTAGATCTCCATGTAGTTTTGCGTCAGATATAATTACACGCCCAATTTTAGTGTCGTCATCAAATTTACTTATGTTGCTGTCTATGCCTACAGTATATCTATGCTGTTTACGTACATAATAAATAGTAATGGTCCAAGTATTGGGGGTACTCCACTAGTGACATTACCCCAATAGGATTTAGTGCCGTTAATGCTTACTCGCTATTTCCAGTCCTGCAAACACGCCCTAATCCATTTTAGAATATCTCCTCCAATTCCACGAGCCTCCACTTTTCGTATTCGTCTTTCGTGGGGGACTCTGTCAAATGCTTTGCTAAAGTCGAGGTATACGTGACCTTCCTGCTAGTACTGACCTACAGTATATCACGTGACCTTCCTGCTAGTACTGACTTACAGTATATCACGTGACCTTCCTGCTGGTACTGACCTACAGTATATCATGTGACCTTCCTGCTGGTACTGACCTTGTTGAGCCATGAGGATGATATCATGGATGTATTTGTTGTCTCTGAAGTGGTAACGGTCTGGGATATCGTCATGCTTGTAGGCATTCACTCCAGGTATCTTTGAAACGTGTTCAAACACCTGTTAAGATATAAATAAGAATTAACTCCACCATATCACCACAAAACACAAACCAACAGTGAAATAAAACGCAACATGCCGTATGGATAATTCTGATCACCTAAGATTAAATCTAACTTATTTCACCTGATGACAGAACACCCCAATACTACCTGAAGTGTTAGGTTTGGTTAGGCTTCCATTAAGGTGGTTAAACTTAAGTTGAAATAGGTTGGGAGCTAATCTTCAGTAATGCAAAATTTTATAATATTGTTTATCTTAAGTAAATTATTATGACTACCTAAGGATAATTTATTTATACTGTACCTAGATAATATATTGATAAAATTCTAGAATGAACATATTTTGAAATATTCACTGGCAATTGGTTTTAAAAGCTGTATTTATTACTAACATTTTCAATGTATTCAGGATAAACTTTGATGTTCATGAAGGCGCCCAAATCAGCGATGTTCTCAACCAGGCTGCTGTTCAGGTAATCATCAATCTCATGGCGCTGAATTGCCCCAGTAGCGGTGGAAGTCATCCCGTGGTCACTCACTATCACAATGTTCACTGTAGGAGGGGAGGAGGGGGCTAGGATCATTACAACAAAAATGAAGTTTTAATTATGGTGGTATTCGTAACACACATGACTATCAAATACAGTCAGAGTAAGCGACGCAGGAAGGGTGAGTACTGTATCATAGCAAACAGATTATAGTCCAAAACACGGCACTTTCAGGTAGCAATACGTAAAAGCATAAAGTACAAACACAAACCTCCAAGGTATTATGAGGCAAAACACAGTAAATATTCATCCTGTATGATTCTATTATCAGTCACTATTGTACCTTGACACCTTAACCACTCCTATATATCCGCACCATTACTACTCCTTACACCTCTTCCACACGTTTACATCAACACCACTCCAACACTCACATGCCCAACACCTCTACACTACTCCAACACTCACATGCCCAACACCTTTACACTACTCCAACACTCACATGCCCAACACCTTTACACTACTCCAACACTCACATGCCCAACACCTTTACACTACTCCAACACTCACATGCCCAACACCTTTACTCTACTCCAACACCTTCCCTACACCTCTACACTACTCCAACACTCATATCCCCAACACCTTCCCTACACCTCTACACTACTCCAACACTCATATGCCCAACACCTTCCCTACACCTCTACACTACTCCAACACTCCTATCCCCCAACACCTTCCCCACACCTCTACACTACTCCAACACTCATATGCCCAACACCTTCCCTACACCTCTACACTACTCCAACACTCATATCCCCAACACCTTCCCTACACCTCTACACTACTCCAACACTCATATGCCCAACACCTTCCCTACACCTCTACACTACTCCAACACCTTCCCTACACCTCTACACTACTCCAACACTCATATGCCCAACACCTTCCCTACACCTCTACACTACTCCAACACCTTCCCTACACCTCTACACTACTCCAACACCTTCCCTACACCTCTACACTACTCCAACACTTATATCCCCCACCAACCTTCATCGGTAAGGTCTCTCTTCTCCAGCTCGTCCATCAGCATCATCAACACATCATCGAGGTCCCTTACCGCCTGCATTATCTCAGGTGAGTCGGGGCCTGTGTTGTGTCCAGTATTGTCTGTGTGCTCTGTGTACACCTGTATTAGAAGATACTGTACTGCACAACTGACCAACTGGATGAATATAAACGAGGGAGGTAATAAATCAGGGCCGGATCCAGATCTCAAATTTGACTGATGCAATCTAAGGTTTTGTCGTTGCGACTAGAATAGATTTAAAATAGTCTATGGAATTGTTACACATCATTCCACAATGCCATGTTTTTAATCAATAATTATAATTAACTTAGATTTAGTTGGATAAATGTATCTTTAACCTGATATTTTAGCCTATATTTTGTCATAAAACGATGTAAGACTGTATATACCTGTATATACTTGATGTCACTCGGAATCGAGTATGACGATCATCCAATGACATGAATTATTAGGGATGTCACCTTCATTGATGAGTTTTAAGGTGACTAAAGAGGCCAATACGGGACCGACAGTCATTCACAAATGTTGCACATGTGGGGGGCTACATCGAGTGCGGGAGGGGCGGTGGCAGAGTCTCTCCTGCGTTGGCGCTTGTCTGCCTCGGTTTGCAGCCGGGCTAACTCGAAAGTATTGACACCTTCTCGTGTGGTGCTCCTCCAAGCGTTATGATGTAGAGTAATCGCCTCCCAAGTGAAGGGGTCGATTTGACACTTTTTCAGGTTTGCCTTAAGACTATCCTTATACCTTTTCAGGTGCCAGCCAGCGTTACGTTTACTATTCGTTAGGTGACTGTAAAGTAGTCGCTTTAGCAGTTTATTATTATCATGAGGGTAACATGGCCAGTCCAGCGTGGTTGTTCATGGATAATGGCAGCCTCGATGCTCCTACAGTTGGTGTTAGCATAAATACTGACATTTGTTCTCTTGTCTTCCTAGCAAACTCGGAGGATGGAACGTAAACTACGTTGGATAAAGTTTTCAAGTGCCTTGTGGTGCCTCCTGTATGTGACCCATGTCTCGCTGCCATATAGCAGGGTGGGGAGAACCACTGCTCAATATACGTGTAACTTTGTAGATAATTTCACCTCTCTACAGCTGAAGACATGGTTTCGGAGTCTGCCAAAGGCTTGAGATGCACATCTGATCTGATGCCGAATCTCTTCTTCAATCTCCGCGGTGGTGGACAAGTGGGAGCCGAGATACCGAAAGTGGGTAACATTAGAGGGGGTAGTACCATTAAGATGGATGGTGGAGGTGTGTCTGAAACGAGCAGGTTCAAAGAGAATCTGAGTCTTATGTACATTCACCTCAAGGCCAAAGTGTGCATACACATCTGAGTAGGTGTTCAGGCTCTCCTGTAAGACACGTTCAGTGTGAGCAACAAGGGTGAGGTCGTCTGCATACTGAAATTCAGTGGAGAGGAAGGAGTGCAGGCTGCAACCACACATCTTGGCACTCCCTTTACCTGATCCAGTGGCGCAAGTGTTACAACGACTGGGGAGAGGAAGAGTTGCAATGGACTGCCGATACCCCAGTTTGTTGGGTTTCGCCTTTGTAGTCTGTCCATCATGCATTGCCTCCGTCTGCTGGTGTAGTCATTGGATTCCCATGGTGGTCACCTCTTCTGCCTATACCGCCGTTGGGGGTCTTGTTGGAGCTCTGTAAGTATGTCTGCCTGATGCGGGGCTCCACCGCAGATTTTTCGCTTGGTGTTTATTCCCATAGCCTTCCAAGGTTAATTTGCAAGACAGCGACGCAATGGTTGGTAGGCGCCAGTGGGCCTATGCGCCGTCCCTTTGGGGCCCACTGCTACTCCGAGATCCCCTGCTGGCCTAGCCTGGGCCCACGAGGCACCCAGTTACTGTGTTGCCAAGAGGAGGCACAGCAGGAGTCTTAATGGTGAAGAGGCTGTGTACTGGCAGGGAAAGACTTATGCAAGTTGCTTCCCTGTTCACCACGAGGGCTAGCCGGCGGCAGTAGCTGAAAGCGAGAGGGAGCAAGCCGTGCTTGAACCTTAACACTAACATAATGCTGCCGCACTAGACGCATTACACCACCCTATGTGCACACACACACACACACACACGTAAATATATCTACAGTTTTATTTATTTACACAATACTGCTTACAATATAACCTTGTACAGAATGTATATAAAACAGACAGTGACACACACACCAATAAGCATTAAATGTACACTACACTACGTGTCTTTGAATGACTGCTTTGGTTATTCAATTGGGTAACTCACACCGGAAGCTATGCTTACGTACGCCACGCGCCACATGACCGGGCCACATAGCTTCAGATTGCCTGACGAGTATTTTACTTGGCATAGCTTTGGTCTCGCATGCTCTGTAGAACGTTTCCTCTCACTCTCACGTTGAGGTAGCGGGTGAAGGAGGGTATATCTGGCTACATGATCGAGTGAATGATTCATGAAGAAAACATACCAATCTTATATACACAAAAAAATAACATAATTATAAGTTTGGTTGTGAAATGCTGAGAATTATTTCCATTATGAAAAAAATCAGGGTATACTTAATCCTTTTTTATTATGAAAAAAATACTAGTCTATATTTAATGAATTTTTACTTACCTTTGGCAAATGGCCAGTCTTTCCTGGGGTGATGTGGATTTCCTCTAGTGAGTGTCCAGTTTCATTTTATCATTTTCAGTTAATAACAAAACGTCTTTGAACTGGGCGTGGGATAATCTAAAATAGTCTGAATTTGTTGTCCTCATTAAGGGTAAGCTTGATACTCGCCATTTTTTTTTTTCATATTTGTTTCGTGGACCCAAGTCATCATTTTCTTGGATAGTCCCAGTGTCGCCTCAACAGTTGAATTTCCTCATATTACTGTTTACATGGACTCAAGAATGACAAACTTGAAAATTAATCTCATTTGCAGTTTATTGTATTTTTTGTATATGTGTTTTATGTGTGTACTGTATGTGCTGGGGTTTGTTTTTATATGTACATGCTTGTGTTTGTTTCTTGTGTACATCCTTTTGTCCTTGGTGTGTACGTGCTTATATTTTTATGTCAGCTCCAAGAATGGTCGAAGAAATGGCTGCTGAGATTCAATGTCACAAAGTGTAAGAGGATGTACCTGGGGCGTACCAACGGCAAGGAGGCATATCATATGTCCCAACGGGATGAAGAAACTGCACTATTTGAGACCGAATGTGAAAAGGACTTAGGTGTGTATGTTGACAATGAGCTGAAGTTCTCGGGCCATTGAGCGAAGAAGGTAAATCGGGCAAATAAATTATTAGGTCTTATAAGAAGGTTGTTCAGATATCTCGTCCCTCGTAACGATCTTCAAGAGTGAAGTGCTTCCCCGTCTGGAGTACTGTCACCCCGCCTGGTCCCCGAGATATACTAGGGGCTGTCAGTTGGTTGAAAATGTTCAAAGGAAGGCCACAACTGTAGGCAAGTTCATTGAATCTCAACCACCATTTACATAAGGTTGAAGATCTCAGCTTAGCTAAAGCACACACACCATTATAACAAGGTTAGGTACACATAGGGCTTATCTGCGTTGGTTTACACCGCGTGGAACTCGGTGGGTGGTAGCCGAGCAATGTTCCAGCCCTTATCAATTAGTATTATATAAATATGGGCTAAGGACAAATATATTCATTATATACATTCTATCACCCAGACTATTGAGCATACAGTTTTATAAGCATTTGTTCTGTCACACCTCCTAGGGTGGACAGCACACATAAACATTTGTAGTTTCACACAGATTCAGGTTACAACCCATAAATATATGTCCCCAGGCCTCCGTGAGAGTAGGCCTGTGGAGTGTAGCCTCTTATCTCTGTGTTGACGTATAGATTACATACCCCCTTACAAGCAGACAGAGAGAGGTTCGCCTATTTCAGTTTCACACAGTTCACCAGTTCACAGCCCGACACAGTACTAAAGAGACGTGTGTGAGCATAGCTCCCAAGGCTGTATCTCTCTCTAATTATATAAGCTAATTACAAGCTAAAAGCTAATGTTCAGTAGTCTGTCAACAAACAATTCTTTAACTACCAGAGCATCCAATATAACTAGAAAATCACCACGTGTGTTTACATTAAACCAAGAACAACAAATGAAGATAACAGAACCTGTGTACACTTGTGTAACTTACAAGCTAAGATAATTACAAGTGTAACCCAGGGCGGCTGGGAGATTCAACGATTCAACGACTGTATCAAAGGTGACACGCCATGAGATTACCTTTTATCTCACCCAGCTTCATCAAAGGTACCAGCGACTACTCTACACTCATTCAGGCAAGTGTTAACAAGTTAGATCGTTTGACATCAAAACCCGGCCCAAACAATGGTGGCAGCAGTGGGATGTGTATGATCCTCTCCTGCGTGGCAGTGAGAAGTGATACCACCCTCAGTGTCAAGACTTGACTGAATTACTCAGAATAGGCAAACTGTACAACAAGGTTTGCCAATAAATTTGGTAAACTGAAAAAAAAAGGGAGGGCCACCATTCTGGTGCCTGGGCTTCGGCATCTCAACTACCCTGAGAGATTGGAGCGCCTGAACTTGCCTAGCTTATACTCCAGACAGGCAAGGGGAGACCTAACTGAGGTGTATAAGCATATCAGGGGGCACTACTTAGTAGTGTCCTTTTTTTTTTATTGGGCACCCCCCCAACGCAGAAGCGTTTACAACGCCCAACAGGGAAGCATGCTAAGTTCATGCTTGCCTTTATGTCTCATGAGTTAAGGGCGTAGAAGCCTGAAGAGTCAATGGTTTATGCCATCAAGTTATTGGAAGCTCCAACAACTTTCCCTGAATACGAATTCGCAACTTTAGATTTACAACAGGTACCATAGCAAGATAATTATTGTCATAATTCTTCACGATTTCAACTAGTTCTATCCTATGAGGATGGAACTCCTTATATCCAGTATACATGACATCACCTCAAAATGGTTTACACTCACATCACCTGAACCCATCTGGGATTCCAGTGCCCGGCTGCGGTCACCCTTGATATCAGGTAACACATTCGCCCTTGGGTGTAAGTAAACCATACATATCTTTGCCCTATGTATCAAACCTTGGTGTTATTAATTCAGTATGCCAGGAGAATCCTGGCGGTGAATATTACCTGCAGGGCCGGATTAACCATAAGGATGTAACCTAGGGCCCTCGTGATATTTAGGACACAGTTTAGGCCTTTATGTGTTTTTTTTAAATTCATTGTCACAAGTTCACAACTTCACCAGATGGCTATATAAATGACTTGTTATGTTTATTAAGGCTCTATGGTTATTATATGCCAGATTAAATACCCCCTTTTTATGCATATCAGGCCCTTCAGCCTTAAGCCCCTCACAACTTTAATCTGGCCCTGGTTACATGACTTTCTCAATGGTGACCGCTGCATGATGCCTCAAGGGGGAATCCTGGCTGGAGTTCAGGTGATGGCTAAGGAGGTGATGCGAGTGTAACCTTACCCCAGGCCCCGCTCCGATTATCCCATCTCTGGGGACGGTTTGTCAAACCTGCCACTCAGGTATGGAAAGTGATAGCTACGTTCAGAAGCTGGTGGGCCATGCAGGTCAACACTGACAATGAGATCGCGTCACCGATAGGTCAATTATTTGACCGATGCAGATGATACCTTTGCATCGGTCACAATTTTTTTAACTATGCAAGTGCATCGGTTGCATTGACCTGGATCCGACCCTACTTGACTATAATGAGTGAAAATTGTATGGTACAGTTTACTATAAAATAGAAGGCCTCACCTGCACAAAGTCGAAGCCTTCATCAAATTTACCCAGTGCATTTTTAATATTCTTCAAAAAGATTGCCTTGCCTGGGATCTTCACGAAAGGTTCGCAATAGGCAGTGGTTACGCCATCAATCGGTACGTCACAGCGGGCCCATAGATACTGGGCCGTGCGAAGACCTGCCTTCTCTGCCGTCGTCCAGATAGGCTCTGATGTCCACCACTATACAGGAGATTCGAAATGTTAAAGACAGTTAAAATCATTAGATTAAATAATATGTATCTGGGGCTAAGAGTTCTTTTTGATAAGATAGATAAGAGAAATAGCTTCATTTTAATGCGCAGAATATAAGTAATTTTTTTTTCACTGTTAATGACTCATCAGCCTACCTTCTGTTTCCCTGTGCTCTTGGCATCAAAAAGTGAGAACATCTCCTTTGTTTCAGCATCATAAAAATAGTTGCCAACAAGCCCGTGGGTCTCGGCGTACTGGCCTGTGGCAAGAGTAGTCCATGTTGGGTAGGAGAGCGATGGAACGAGTGGGTTGGTCCACCGAGACCTGCCTCCCTCTCGTAGGAACTTAGTGAAGCCAGGAAGGTCTTTGGGGTCCTGCTGATCCACATAGTCCCACCTGAACCTAAAGAAAATTTGAAGTTGCGAAATCTCCTTAAGGTAACTATTTAGGAAGTTTTACTAAATCTGCCTCTCCTCTCACCTTGCAATTCTTTTTTTCTTCCTGATGGAACAAGATTACGATCTGAAAATAGTTGTACTCGTATATTCGATGGGTGAACGCAAATTCTTCAACGTCAATCCTTCAGGTGCTCTTAGAATCTTAACTAATGGTTAATAATATTAGGTTTTCATTTAAATTGTTCAAGAAAATATAAAGGAGTGAGAGCAGACATACCCGTCCATGAGGATGTAGAGGAGCTTGCCATGGTGGTGTTGCTGCGGTTGCGGCTCAGACACGGCATCCCCCAGGAACGCCACACTGCTCATGCACCACAACGCCATCCACACCGCGCCTCCTTGACCAGACATACTGTACCTCACAACCTGCGTCCCTGCGGGAATAAACATCTCATATCTGAAGGCTAGTTCGGGCTGTTTATTCCACTCTTCTAAAATTTGTATCTCTCTAAGGACCCAGTTTTTGTATTTCATTCATCCACCATAGTCTCCGCTTTCCCCTGGCCCTCCTGCCATCAACTTTACCTATTAATATTTCTGTTATTATCCCCGCTTTCTTAATTATATGACCAAAGTGTTTAATTTGTCTTTCTGTATATTTAAAGTATTTCTCTTGAAATTTTTGCTAACCTAAGCACTTATTCATTTGTTTTCCTGTCAGTGTTACTTATTCGTAACATACGCCTATAACACTACATTTAAAAGGCCCCCACCCTCTTTTTGGTGCCTGCTGAGTGTCCACGCAACTGACTCAAACAACAGTACTGACCATATACTGTACAGTATAGTCGCTCAGACTAATATGATTCCGGAACTGCGACCTTGGGACTAACAACCTTTCACACAAGGCACAATAGGGCAGATCTATCTCACTGAAACATTCAAAATCCTGAAACGGATGGAAAACGTGAACCCCGAACATTTCTTTGTGATGTCACGCACCGCCAACACCATAGGACATAACTACAAGCTCACCAAGTTATCATATAAAACGAATATAAGAAAATACTTTTTCACACAGAAGATGGTAGACCAATGGAATGGTCTACAAGTCCAAGCTGTGGAATCAGGACAGTACTGGGCTTCAAAACGGCCCTTGACAAAATTATCAAGAACAATGGAGGTATCCTACACAGGCCACTGGTCTCCTTCCCTCGGCATGGCCACCTCTATAGTGGGTGGCCATTCGGAAAATAGGGTAAAGCAATCTGCCACTGTATAGGTCTTGGTTTGTGATACTAAATTTCTGACTCTTTTATGAATTGAAAGTAATCTATTTAATTCCTGATAATGTTATTTACATTGTCCTGGGTGAGATCTATGCAGAAAAAATTACGAATATTTAATACGGTCTCTAGCTCACGCCTATCCTATAAAGGCTACTACACGTGCCCACCACGCTTGTGACCTGGCATACCTCGCCACTTGCGGGAACAATAGCCCATGATGACTCCACGATTAATTTAACCAGGCAGCCTGACCAGCAAATAGTGTGTAAAGCAGTTGTTACCATGCCCTTTAATCTGATGAGCACTCAGCTTATTTTAGATGGTCGAGGGAGCACCATTGCATATTTTCAAAAACAAGGAATAATGAAGCCAGTCCAAATTCTTCCAGATTTGTGTTAATGCCATAAAAAATAAAAGTACAATTCCATTTACAAAAGATTAACAAACAAACCGATACAAGTCGTATATACATTTGTTACCAACATTATTTCAAACGATTTTTAACGCAATAAATATTAAAACCGAAAATTTTAATTCTTCTCACAAAGCATTCTTAAAAAAAATTTACAGATCCCATACAATACTGTTACAACCCTCCTCCTGCCACCGCTTACCCAACTTCCACAACACGTTACCAGCGGCTAGGGTCGTATGTATAGTACAGAAACAGTAGATATCTCACAAGAGTCGTCGAATTATCACTGGCTGACCCGCCAGTCTCCGGTAATATCCCGACGATCGATATCAGTGTACAGACAAACAATAGGCAGGTAGATTTCCACCAGGTCACAGAAACACACTTGTGTACTGTAGTGTACTTTAATATGCACAAATTCTTCACAACACTCTTAACCGGGTTAATGGCTTCACAGCTTGACTCCACACTTCAAGTGTATAGTCAGCACACTACCAGTGTACAATTCTTTTAGTCTTCTCACTTTATATTAATCACAACTCCACAATACTTGCACAACAATGTCTTCAGTTGTTCTGCTAGGCTTAGTCTTTACTCTAGGAACAGAGGCGGTCAACTAACTATGATGATGATGATGATAATGAAGTAAAGTGGCAAATGACTTTGCCATGGGTGAGGAGAGAGAGAAAAGGAAAGCATAGAAACGGGAAGTAAAATAGTATGGAGTGATAGGTGGACTGTCCACCTAGCAGACGCCCGCCCAAGGGAGGCGTGGGGGGGGGAGCTAAGCTAGCGAGGCATTCATGAGTATGATGGGTGTCAATTTATGTTTGTTAAATGTGTAAAGTTGGTCTTGTTCTTGTATGTTAGCATGGAGGCTCTTGGACCACCAGCTGTGTGTTCTTGTGGTTTCTTCTTTTATCTGGGAGAATATTGGATCCTCCAACTCTTCAAGTTTGCTCCAAATTCTCTGAGCTTGACTGTGTGTACGTGTGTTCAGTGGTTCGATATTGTATAGTTCGTGAAGTTCTTGTATTTTGGTGGTGTATGGGGGGAGTTGCTTTGATGCTCTACGGAGAGCTTTGTTTTGTACTGATTGAAGTTTATATTTGGCTGGTTTTGCTGATAGTGCTGAGTGGTATTGGTGGATACTCCAGGTGGGGGCGGATAAGTGCTTTGAATAGATGTACAGAGTAGTTGAATGTTGGTGTCCATTTTGCTAAATCTTCGTAGTTTTGTGAGTTATTGTGAGTCCCAGAATTTTGCCTTCGTTGGAGTATTGTATAGTTTCGTTGTTGACTAGGCAGCCCGCGCCTAGAGCATTCAGTAAAGTCGACCAGGAACTATACCAATACGACACTGAAGGCAGAATGCTTGGACTAAAACTAACAAAAAGAGGATATATAACATACATACAAGATAAAGAACGACAGGCAAGAATAAGTCTATACAAAATATAGCCCTTGTTAAATCAATTATGGACTACCCACCCATCCCATTGAACACCCTTAGTAAAACGAGCATTAAAAGGTTACAAGCAGTACAAAATATAGCCCTCAGATTTATTTATAACATAAAATATACAGACCACATCAATAATGAACAGCTACACAAGAGAGAGTAAACCTCCTAGCAATCAATGTAGAAATACACAAGAAAGCCGCAAATATTTGGAACAAAGTGACTGAACTCAATACAGAAACCTACCAAAACTTGTTAAATAATATAGCTGTAGATAGTAACGAATTCCAAGAACACAGTTGGTTTAAATCAGCCAGAAAGAAAGTAATTGAACCATCTCCTGCCCCAATATACACATAAAACATTAAGAGAGCGCCACTATATATATATATATGACATCACGAAAATTGTGACCAAGTCCCAGGTTGCTCATCTGACTTTCTGCCTCATTTACACACAATTGCAGGTTCTCGATTGTCTCTTACTGTTGACAACACAACATACATCTATTGTTTCTCACCTTTGATTTTATTTTGTATTTCTTTATTATTATTAGTGTTGTTGTTATTATTATTAATTTATTATTATTTTTTATTATAAATTGCATTTACTATGAATTATTATTATTATTACCCCCCAGGTACCGATGTGGGTTTGTGACCTGTGCCCGGGTGGACTAATCCCCGCAAAAATTCATATTTACAGCAGGATAAAAAAACACCTAGAACATAAGAACATAAGAAAATAAGGAGTCTGCAATAGATCGGTTGGCCTGTGCATGGCAGCTCCTGTCGAGAGTTACTACCACTCTCTATCATCCATGAATCTATCCAGCCTATTTTTGAAACTTTCCAGCGTTCCAGCACTTACTACAAAGTTGCTAAGCTTGTTCCACTCGTCCACCACCCTATTTGTGAACCAGTTCCTTCCTATCTCCCTCCTAAACCTAAACTTATCCAACTTAAATCCGTTGCTCCGAGTCTTATCCTGCTAGGATATTATAAGAACTTTATCTATATCCCCTTTATTGATTCCTTTCACCCACTTAAATACTTCTATCATATCTCCCCGCACTCTTCGTCTTTCCAGTGAATGCAAGTTTAGTTTCTTTAACCTATCCTGATATGGAAGGTTTCTAAGTCCCGGAATCATTTTCGTCATTCTTCGCTGCACCGACTCTAGTGAATTGATATCCATTCTATAATAAGGGCACCAGAACTGAACCGCATAATCGAGGTGCGGCCTAACTAGCGCAAGATATAGTTGCAATAAGACCTCTGCACTCTTATTACTTACACTTCTAGATATAAAACACAATACTGTACTCTGTTTGCCTTATTTCGAACATTAACGCACAGTTTTCTAGGCCGTAGGTCCGGGCTTACAGGTACCCCTAGGTCTCTTTCACAAGTCGACTTCTCTAGGTTGATGTTGTTAAGGCTGTAAACATTGACAGTATTTGTTCTTCCAATATTAAGTACCTGTGTCAGCCAGTGAGACTTGGGGTGAAATAAATCTAATTAATATTAGTTATACATTTTACAGTATTTTCCGTTTACTCATATTTTCGGGAACACTGATTATTTTCATCACAAGGTCGAATTCAACCAGACAGAGCTATCCTTTGTGTCGTCATTGGACATGGTAACTGAGGAAACAGTTTAACTTAGTCTATACTCGGCTCATATCGTACGCATTGTCTTCAAGAGTTTATCCCATTGTACTCAGGATCATTTTTTTTTCATATCCAACACTCGCTTGCTAGCATGTCGGACGGTCGGTATGTTCTGCTATCGCTGTACCACCAACAATCGTACCGAAAGACTAAAGCTTTGTAATTGGCTAAACCAAAAGTTGATAGAATTTCACCCGAGGGACCTTCACAAGGTTAGCGCATGACATCCATTCTCGCTGCTTATTCTCTCATTCTAGGTAATTAGGATATACTTTATCCTTCTCGCCAGTGATCGAGGGCTCGTTTTCCGCTTGGGCGGTCAGTCACGTTTCTGTTGACTAGCACTGGGCATGTACTGGTTCCAAAATATATCAGCGCCAGTATTGGTCAAGTCTAGTTTTAGAACTTACATTCGGTGCCATCACAACGCTCTCTGGCAGAATGTTCGAAGAGTTCACAGCTTTTCAGTGACCTACACAGAGAGTTCTATCTCTCATAATCATTTTTATCGTTGTTCAACTATAACATTGCTACGCGCTTAAAGACCTTTGTTGTTGAAGCGCAGTAATAACATTATAACAAGAGTGGCCTAGT